AATTGTAATGTTATAAACTATTGATAATAATATAAACTGAGAAAAATAACAATTATATATAAATTAATATAAAAAGCAAAAATTTCATATTTTTCAGTATCAAGTTTCTATATTATATTTAAAATACTATTATTTATAACAATTACAAGGTCCATCATTCGTTACATATTTTTTAAACATTCCAATCTTAAATCTATAACTTAAAATAAAAACTGTAAATAACAATTACCTCTATCTGTATCTTAAATGTTAAAATATTTTAAATAACAACATTTACCAAAGTACAAAAATATCAAGTTTATAACAATTCCAATAAAATTTTCCAAACCCTCGAACAACAAATAATCCCGAAGCAAATCCGTCCACTCTCGTGCGTAAAAGTCGAAGAAATTGGAAAAAAGGCGCGCACGGTCGGTCGCGTATCTTCGCGTTTTCTCGGAGGTTTACGCCGTCGTATCTATTACTGAATAGCGTCTGTACGAAAGGGGCGACAAGTACTACGGTCGAACTATTTACTTGAACCTGTGTGCGAGTCGATTAGTGTGTGGGTCAAAGCGAAGGGGCAAAAAAGAAGTCATCCAAGGAATCACTGCCACTACGCGTAAGTAATCGGTAATCGGGTACACAACCGAAGGTCATTTCCATCGACGTCGGGGCACCCCTGGCCGCGACAGATTTCGGATTCGAATTAATCCCCGATAAACACTCGAACGTCGCCAAGGTACATTTCGCATTTTCAATCGCGCGTTCGCCCTCGCGTAATGGTAACGTTTTCACGCGTCTCGTTTCGTTTCCCTTTGTTTTGACAATGCGCCCCCGGCCGAGGCACGTCGTCGGTCAATCCTCGTAATTGTTTTCTGTTTCAGCCGAGGAACACGATCGTTCGTCGTCCCATCAGTTCTTGCAAATGGAGCACAGTTATAAGAATACCGACTGTTACTTTTTCTATTATTCCACGTGTAAAAAGGTGAGTTCCCATCGCGTGGCCCGCGCGGGCCGATCGTCTCGCCGATTTCCCCGTCGCGACCGAATTTCTGCCGTTTAATATATTCGTTTCCATATTGTTTCTGTTCCGCTCGGTCTCGTGGTTAGATCGGCCATGTTGAAGCCAAAGATCTCGCGACGTTCTTCTTTTTCAAACAGTTGACGGATTATTTATTTAAGCGTTTGTTTAAGAGGTTTTCAAGATTTCATGTTTCTTTATTTTCAATACATGTGTACGTATGTATATGTATATGTATATATGTGTATATATATATATATATACATATATATTATATATGTTATTATAATAATATGAATAAAGCGATAAAGTTTCTTTGTAATACAGATAATACATCTGCATTACAAAAAATTCACTCGTAACTTTATATAGAACCATGTAAACTTGAAACGATAGTACGTTATAAGTCCTTTTCGCACGATAAAGTTTCTTTATAATACAGATTATACATCTGCATTACAAAAAATTCACTCGTAACCATATAAACTTGTAACGATAAATATTTATGTTAATATCTTGTATGTTAACAAGTTACGAGTGAATTTTTTGTAATGTGCTGCAGTATTATCTGTATTATAAAGAAATTTTATTGTGTAAAGGATTACGTATTATCGTTTCAAGTTTATATGGTTCTATATTAGGTTACGAGTGAATTTTTTGTAATGCAGATGTATTGTCTGTATTATAAAGAAATTTTATAGTGTAAAGGATTTATAACGTATAAGTTTACATGGTTCTAAATTAGGTTACAAGTGAATGTTTTATAACGCAGATGTATTGTCTGTATTATAAACTTTATCGCATGTAAATAATTTCATATGGAACTATTACCTTGCAGTATTGACAAGTCGAATGAGCACTGCAATATTGTATGACGATCATAGTCGTATTGTATTTATTTATAGTTATTGTATTTTATAATTGTGTTTTTTAATCATGTTTGAAGGGTGATGAGTGTCCTTTCAGACATGAGCCATCTGCCTTGGGTTGTGAAACAAGATGCATATATTGGCAGCAGGGTAAATGTCTTGATGAACACTGTAACTTCAGGCATATGGAGTTAAGGGTAAATATATTTTAAGGTTTGAAACATTCAACGAGAAGTTTGATGGAATTATTAATGGTATCTTTGTGTTGCATGAATAGAAAAATCGCAAGTCAATTCCGTGTTACTGGGAAACACAGGCTGGAGGGTGTAGGAAACCACATTGTTCGTTCAAGCATAAAAATGCTCGTACAATTACTAGTAATCCTATTAATCCAGTGAAGAATCCGGAATTAACATCAAAGTCATTATTAAATCAGGAATGGTTCACTCGTCTAGGTAGGCACATTTTATTGTATTTTTAATGTATCTTGTGAACGGACAAATTTTTGCTACCTTTGGTAATAAAACGTTTGTGTTCGCTTAATTTGTGAAGTATTCCGTATAAAAGTTACTGCCCACGTTACTTTGTATTTCTCTCATTTAAATTATCCAACGAAACTTATTTTCAAAGGAAAATCGTCATTAGATGTAGATTTGGAAATAGAACTTCAGTTTTTTTGTAAAAAAACAGTTTCTATTATGAATTACATAAACATAATGAAGTATTTAACGATGCTGTATTTTTAAAAATGTTAAATAGCATCTTGAAACTTAAATCTTCGTTTCGTGAAAAGTATACAGGATTTTTCAAAAAGTGATTCGCTTTCTTTTTTGTAATAAAGTGTATTTTAATTTCGAAAATCTTATGGGCACTTATATTATTAACCTAAGAGATGTGAGAATCAGATTTTAGTTTTTAAATGGAATTATATACTTTTTGTTGGATTTGTTATTGCATGATTGAATGAACTTCAAAATACTTATAGAAACGAATGCTGTTTAGTTCCAGTGTTTCATCCTATTTCTTTTTTATAAATATTGTACATGCAATATTTTGGAGACTGTTCAAAATGAAGTATATAATTTATAGATTTTTGATTTTTTCATTTAACCGCAAAAGAAACATATAGGTTCACTTAAAAATTGAAATTTAATTGATATATTTGGTTCTATTTAAAAGTTGTACTTAGTTGACCACAAAATTGAAATTACTCTGTACTATAAACATTTTTTGATACTAGCTTTAATGCTTTCACAGCCTGGAATATTGCATTCATAAGTCCGTTATGAATGTAATTTTTTGATATCTTTCATATTTTAAGAGGTAACGGTTTGTCCATATTTATACAGATACTAAAAATTGATTTCTTATTTATCTGCAACACTGAAGGTTAGGAAATCAAATAAATTTTTAAACAATTCCAAACAAATAAAGTAAAAGAATAATAAATGAATTGAAACATTTGTAGCGAGATGTATTTACATTTGTATTTAACTTTTCTAAAGATTGCGAAACAATTATTACCAAAGCAGCCGTAACTTGAAAATTTATCTTTACATAGATTGTTTTATTATTTTTGTGTAATAAGTTCACGCCTACAGTAGTTGCTGCACATTATGGGATACCCTGTGTATAAGAATTTGGTGTTCTATTGCTGAAATATAATAATTTGTGTAATTTGTTGGCAGATGATGGAAAGTATGATGGAAACAGCACAGAGTCAGATCAAGGTAGAGGAAGTAGCGAAGCAGGCAGTTTTATTGGCAGTCCAGCTGTTGATCCTCTTATCGTCAAATTTGAAGAAGGTATGAGGCTTTACTAGCCCCCCCGTCCATCTTTCAGCGTACATTATCTTACATCGGCTACTCTTTCCCTTCCGCCCAATTTACAAACAAATATAAATATTCCAAACGCACTCAGTATACCAAGCAATCTGACAATCCCTAATAACGTTTCTAACAGTCTCAACTTATTAAATAATATCAATGTCACGAACAATTTAAACATACCGCAGCCCAGTGTACAAAATTCACAGAGTTCTCCTTGCCACCATACGTTATCATTTTCCCATCCGCAAAGTCTGCACTCACATTCTCCTGGCCAGTCATTGTCGCCATTACAAAACCAACAGAATTCTCCACTTCTTCAACAACCACCGTATTCATCTATACATACTCGTCAAACTTCTCAACCTCAGACGTCAAGATTTCCTTTTTCATACTCCGAAATGACCTCGTATAAACGATTCCGTCGTCCATGAACTATAATTAGCATAGTTACAATACAGTAAACGAACAATGACAGATGGAGAAAGCAGATATATAAGTAACATTAAACGACAAAATGCTTTTCAAATGATGATGCGAAGTATTCTATACGTACACAAGCATGTACGATACTTTGTATGTAAAAAAAACGTTGTACTTCCTATTTTATGATATTGGTTTAATTGCAGATTATTTTAATTGATTGATCAATATAGGAATAGTACATTTCCG